AATACTTTATCTAGCATTAATGTGCAGTTTTCAAATTAAAAGATAAGTTTTTCATTTTTATTCCTGTCCCCATCTATCTTCACTGCATAGTTCTTATCCAGTGTATTGTATTGGACACAACAAACCTACCTATTTGCACACTTTTCTATGAAAATCAGATGGCTGATTACTAGATAGGTCTTCTTAAAATGATGCATGCAGTTTATCAATCCCTTTTGATAGTTATGCTCCTTTTCCAAGATAATAAAGTACAGAAATCTTTGCCCAAACATTAAAAGTTCTCCACAGTTTAAACTTAGTCTTTTAGAAGTTATTATCACTGCCTTTGAAAAATACCACGTCATATACTGAATGGTTCTGAAGTTCATTCATTAATATTTCTATTCACGTATTCATCTGCCATAAATTTTATACATTTAAACTTGAAGGTTGGGCTGGGGAGATGGTTCAGTCAGAGGCCCTGAGTTTGATCCCCAGAACCCACATAGAAAGGCCAGGTGTGACGGCACTTGTAACCCAACGCTGGGTGGCAGGAACAAGTGAATCCCCGAGGCTCTGGCCAGCCAGAGAGCCTATGGGGCAAACTCCAGGCCAGTGAAAGACCCTGTCTCAGAAGGTGGTGGCACCTGAGGGACGACACCTGAGATTCAGTGTCTTAAATCTTTGAGTCTCTATAAATTTGCTTAAACTAGATAAGTCATATACGTGACACCACACAATATTTTTATTTTTGTGGCTAACATCTCACAGCACAGTGTTTTCAGGGTTCACGCATGTTGTGGGTGTATCGAAACTTATTTCTCTTTCTAATATTCTTCTGTGTGTTGTAAACCATGTTTTGTTTATCTGTCCATTGATAAACACTTAAATTATTTTTACCTTTTGATTACTATAAATCTGTGGTGAACACTAAAAACTTTGGGCCCCTCACATGCTACACAAGTGCTCTGTCACACCCCCAGCCCTGTTAGGCATCTTTTCATGTTCTTATGTTATTTTAAAAATTAAAATGTATTTCCCCTGGAAATACTGTTGAACTTCAGAATGATTGTTATATGAATTACTTACAATTCATACGTGTTTAAAGTTACAGGTTTAAAAGGCTTTAAACCCTAAATCCTTTACCTAATATCATTACTAATATAGCAAAACCTATCTGTGCTCCTCATCCTACCCTTTCTCTCCCACAGTCTTCCAAATTAATACCTCCCTGAATTTTGTTATCTGTATTTTCTTCCATATATATGTGTATATGTTTCCCTCAACTTTGTTTAGCTTTCCATTTTTGACAAGAAAAATCTAATTTTGTGAACATTGTATATGAGTTGGAAAAATTGAGTAATTCTAATAATATATGTCTAGAAAGTGCTATATTTTAAGTTTTGAGCAGGCCAAATTTTTTTAATTTTATTATTTTGTGAACATTGTATATGAGTTGGAAAAAAAGGAGTAATTCTAATAATATATGTCTAGAAAGTGCTATATTTTAAGTTTTGAGCAGGCCAAATTTTTTTAATTTTATTATTTTTATTTTATTTGTATGCGTGTATTGCTTGCATGTAGGTGGGTACACCCGTGTCATGCAGTGCCGGTGGTGGTCAGAAGAATGCGTCAGATCCCCTGGAACTGGAACTATGGGTGGTTGTTAGCCACCATGTGGGTTCTAAGAATCAAACCTGGATCCTCTGCAAGAGCAGCCAGTACTCTTAAGCACTGAGCCATCTCTTTTACTATGTAAAAGGATCCTTAAAATTCACCTTAAAAGAATATGTAGCTCTTGTGGCAGGGCATAGTGGTACAACCTTTAATCCCAGCACTCAGGAGGCAGAGGTAGACTGCCAGCCTGGTCTACATAGTGATCCCAAGCCAGCTGGGGCTACTGGGAGACTCTGTCTCAAATAGCCAAAAAAATAAATAAATAAATAATCTAACTCTTAAGGTTATTATAACCAATTGTTTTCCTTTTATGTTTAAGAAAACTCACATTAAAATTTTTTAACTGTGCACGCCTTTAATCCCAGCACTCGGGAAGCAGAGGCAGGGGATCTCTCTGAGTTCGAGGCCAGCCTGGTCTACAGGGTCTACAGAGCGAGTTCCAGGCCACCTGGGGCTACAGGGGAGACTCTGCCGCTAAAAACAAAAAAAGAACAATCTCAAATGATGAACAGTTTCTACCTAACTCTTGACTTAGAACAGTTGTGAAAAGTTATCAGTGGTGATATATTCCCTAGAGCTTCAATGTGTAGGAAAAAGTAAGAAGTAAGTGCATCTTGCAATTGATTTTTAAAAATATTAACCACTAAGAGTTGGCATTGTTGTTTGGAGATGAAATTTCCTTATGATGTCCAGGATAGTCTCAAATCCATGATCATAAGAGAGCCTCACACCTGAGTCTCCTAAGGAACAAGGGTTACAGATACATACAGTCAAACCTAGTTTTAAAAGATAGTTATTTCATTTCATATAAAAAGTTTAGAGATGGGCAATTCTAAGATCAGCTTGACAATCTTAGGGCCAGGAAGTCTATTACACTCTTTATTTTGCCTCCACAATTGAGTATGTCCAAACCAGTAAGATTTTATTAAAGGTTTGCTCATTTGGGGCTGGAGAGATGACTCAGTGGTTTAGAGTACTGACTACTCTTGCAAAGGACCTGGGGTCACTTCCCAGCACCCACATGGTGGCTAACAACTGTCTTTAACTCCAGTTCCAGGGGATCTGGCACCTTGTTTTGGCCTCTGCAGACATTGCATGTCATGAATGCACTTAACATATATGCAGGCAAAACACCCATACACATTAAAAAAAAATTAATCAAAACTTTTAAAAGAGCGTTCATTTGATGGCGGTGGGCGATGAGAGAAAGAAGAGGGTGAAAATGTGCTTTGTTTTTGTTAGGATCTGTTTTTCTGTGTGGAATGACAGAAGATTTTCTCTTCATTTATCAGAGGCCAGAATGGGGATCCTGTCCTTAGCGAAAGGGAATGGGCTTGTACTGACCAATTAGGTTGGTTATGATTCATCTCTTTGGAACTAAAGGAAGAGCTGTCTTCCTCCAAGAAAAAGAGATAGCTTTTAACACCGCCTGAGAAGGAGGGGCTTCGATGATTTCTTAGCCAATAGAATGTGCCTGTCTTTTTTTTTTTAACTTGTTTTGCTGGCATCTGTGTAAATGCACCGTGTATGCATGGTAACCATGGGGCATCAGATACCCCTGGAACTGGAGTTATAGACAATTGTTAGCGTCCACATGGGTGCTGGGAACTGAACCCAGGTCCTCCGCAAGAGCAGTCAGTGCTCTTAACCACTGAGCGATCTCTCCAGTCCTGACTCTATTTATTGATAGATTCCTTTACGTATATTTTATTTTCGCATTTTATTTATTTTGCTTTGTGTTTGCTTGGTTTTTAACATTAGTTTTTTGGCTTTTAATAGAAAATCATAGCCTGGCATGGTTGAGCACACCTTTAGTCCCAGCACTTGGGGGCAGATGCAGGCAGATCTCTGTGAGTTTGAGGTCAGCCTGGTATACATAGTGAGTTCTAAGCCAGCTGTAGCTATAGGGAGACCCTATCTCAAAAAGACAGAAAAGAAAAAGCAAAGAAAATCAGTTTTTACTTTGATTTCTTAGACTCTTTTCCCTGAAATTTTGAGAAATCTTACATAGCTCATTTATCTTTCTGAGTAAGGAAGGTTTCATAATATAAGAATTATCAGCTGGGGGTGATGGCACATACCTCTAATCCTAGCACTCAAGAGGCTGAGGCAGAATTGCTGTGAGTTTGAGACCAGCCTGGGCCATATAGCAAGTTCAACCATGGCTTAGTAGTAACAAGACCTCCTCCTTCAAAAAGTCATCAGTAGGATATCTCATAGGTTGAATGTTAAGTTCTAAGTAAGATTTCTGATGTATTTAGTTTTTGTTTTTAATTTTTAGGGAACCTCGAAAAGTTGTTCTTCATCGTGGTTCAACAGGCCTTGGTTTCAACATTGTGGGAGGCGAAGATGGAGAAGGAATATTTATTTCCTTTATCTTGGCTGGAGGACCTGCTGACCTCAGTGGAGAGCTAAGAAAAGGAGATCGCATTATATCGGTAGGATGTGTTAATTAGATAATTTTATATGACCTTTACTGTGACCTATTAATGATTAAAAGTGAATTATTTTTCCATATCTTAGTGTATTTCTGATACACATTGTATGATTGGGTCTTGTTTTATGAACCAAGCAGACAGTTTGTGCCTCTCAGAGTGTTTAGTGTGAGTGTTACTGTTATATATAGTTCTGGGGACTAAACCTAGGACTCACATCTATTAGGTAAGTGTTCCACCCCTGAGCTACACTCCTGCTTGTAATGTAGTTATTAATTAGTAAATTAATACATACTTCAGTGTCACATGACAGTATTGCTTTTCATTTACCATACTTGTTCCTCACCCTCACTAATTTTTCCCACTTTTTTCCAGTACTGATTTTTTAAAATATATTTTGTTTATTATTTTTGTGTGTATGAGTGTTGTGCATGGATGTATGTCAGTGCACCATGTCACTTGCATGGCCCATGAAGGTCAGAAGAGGGTGTCGGATTCCTTGGAACTAGAGCTAAGGACAGTTTTTAGCTGACATGTGGGTGCTGGGAATCAAACCTGGGTCCTCTGCAAGTGTAGCCAGTGCTCTTAACTTCTGAGCCATCTCTCCAGCCTCTTTTGGTAGTTTTTGTTTTTTAATATTTTATTTTTTATTTTTATTTTATGTGTATGTGTATTGTCTGTGTGCAGGTAAGTGCACCCATGTCATGCAATGCCCACGGAGGTCAGAAGAGGCTGTCGGATCCCCTGGGACTGGAGTTACTGACAGTTGTTAGCTGCCATGTGGGTGCTGGGATTTGAACCCATATCTTCTGCAAGAACAGAGTTCTTAACCACTGAGCCATCTCTCCAGCCCCTTTTGGTAGTTTTTATGCTTTTGCTGAAACTATCCAAACTCCTCATCATCCATAGTGGCTACCTTTACATTCTTTAACACATTTATCATCATGACTTTATCATAATAATTTTTTCATAATTATTATTTTTAGTAGCAGAGTCTCATTGTAGCCCTGGCTGGCCTCGTACTCACTATAATGAGGCAAAAGGAGCTAGCAGCTTGGGTCTCTGGGGTCCACAAGGTGAAAGAAGAAGACCAACTCCCACAAGTTGTCCTCTGATCTCCACACACACACTTTCTAAATAAATAAATAAATGCTTTAAAAGAATGAAGTAAATACTATGGGTTACTGTTTTGTAACAGAATAATTTACGTGTCGGAATTAATGCCTGGAACTAGGGAATAGCATGTATTGGGCTGCCAGAATCGAGCTACGTGAACGTGATCTGTAATTGAGCTGTATTTTCTTGTAGCTCCAATTTAATTTAGTTTAAAATTTTTTTGAGAATAGGCTCTGGCAAGCATTTTCTGAGCACTTGTGAGATTTGCAGTATCTCATGTTTTACAACTGAGCTGCCAACTTTTAAAACTGCTTTATAATTCAGCTGCCAACTTTCTGGGATGCTGTCATTTCTTTTTGTTCTCTGAACTTGCCTCACTTTTTCTGCATCTTGGGAATAACTGCTTCCATGCCCTCCTCCTATCTACAGTGTCTTGGAGGTCCTTACCTGCTTCTCATGCCCCTTAGCAGCTGGAAGTACAGACTTCCTGTTGTTGATTTTGGACAGGTTTTCAGCCAAAGTAGAAGAGACACTCTTCATTATAAGTCTCTAGTACTTTGACTATGATGGATGTTACCAGCTAAATTTAGTAGTCTACTGTCTTGTATTTGGGGATGCCCTTGACAAGTCAGGAATGAAAAAATCTTATGTTTCAGTCCCCAAACACTGGTCTGAATCAATACTCAGGTGGGTGTAGACTTGCCTTGTTGCTTCTCAGAATTTTTATCTGTTTCACCAGTCTACAAGAACTCATAAAATGTTAAGTAAAGTTTTGGCTAGTTTCTTCTTATTTCTGTCTATTCCTTTTTACCACTTTACCAAGAATGAGAGCTACCATAGGTGTCTTCTTGTTATTTTCTGGACTTAGTTCACTTAAGTCTGTTGGAATTCCAGTTCCCTGTGAGTTTAGTTTTTTTTAAATTTACCCAGATTATTTTGATAAGATATGAATGATAAGCCAGGCGTGGTGGCGCATGCCTTTAGTCCTAGCACTCAGGAGGCAGAGGCAGGGGAATCTCTGTGAGTTCAAGGCCAGCCTGGTCTACATAGTTCCAGGCCAGCTGGGGCTACAGGGAGACTCTGTCTCAAAAAGACCAAAAAACAAAACAAAAAAACTTCTCTTGATTTATATCAAAGAAATGGCTTAAAATAGCAATACTATCTGGGCATGGTGGCACATGCCTTTAGTCCCAGCACTCAGGAGACAGATGTGGGCAGATCTTTGTGAATTCGAGGCCAGCCAGAGCTACATAGTGTAGACCTTCTCTACCCACTCCATCCCCACCCCCTAATAAAAGCAATATTGAGCAACATTGTTGACCAACAATATGAGGTTTATTTCTGTGTCTCAAATTCTGAATTTTTTGAGGCTTATCTTACCTTAAAATACCTAAACCAAACCTACCTTATACTTTTTAATTAAAAAGAAAACAGTACATCAAAAATAGTGGTTAAGGTAAACCTTGTCTGAACCATTATATAGCTCTTGAGGGCAAATTAACTTCTAGTGTTTTTGGAAGAATGCGATAAGAAAAATGTTTCTAGGAACTTAACACACACAATGTAAATAGATCGGCACTCCCTAAATGAAACAACACTGGACTCCAACAAATAAAATACCACTAAAAATAAGCTCACAATGCAGTTTAAAGCATGAAAACCAGTTCACCATGCACCATAAAATTTATGTATTATATAGCTATGAACCTGAGAAATAGAACTATTATATATAAAATAATATCCACTCAATAGGACTTGAATAAGGACAGAATACATATAACAAGAGAAGGCAAAATTTGTAAAGACCATGGCTGTTTCCAGAACTGATGAGTAAATCATGTTTCCCCTGATTTAGTAAACACTTGCTCCAAAAGAAATACAAAATATAGACATATTTTAGTAAAAGTTTAGCACACAAAAGATGAGGTCTTCAAACAAAACGCCTACAAACAAGATAGAGAAAAATTTTTGAGACAGGGTCTCCCTGTAACCCCAGCTAGCCTGGAACTTGCTATGTAGACCAGGCTGGCCTCAAAGTCACAGAGATCTGCCTGCCTCTGCCTCCCAAGTGCTGGGATTAAAGGCACGCACCACTAAGCCCAGCGTATTTATTTTTATGTGTATGAGTGTTTTGCTTGCATGTCTATAAGAGCACCCATGTCAGGCAATACCAACAGAGGCCAGAAGAGGAGTCAGATCCCCTGGAACTAGAATTAAAGATAGTTGTTAGCTGCCGTTGTTAATGCTGAGAACTCAACCTGGGTCCTCTGCAAAAGCAGCTAGTGCTCTTAACCACTGAGCCATCTCTCCAGCCCATCTTCAAAGTCATTAGGTTGACCAGATTTAAAAGTGAAGGTACAATAAAGACATTCAAATAAAGTCTTTAAGAATATTGACCATTAAGATTTTTATTTTTTTTTAAAAAAAAAACCTTTTTTTGAAGACGTGAAATTCAAGCACTAAAATACTAGAAAATCATGATTAAACTTTCCCAAGGTCTGGGTGTCATTAGGAAGAATTGTAGGACTATAGATTACAACATAAACACACAAATTCAAAATAAAAAGAATAGTAAAGCTAAAGTAAATGCCAAGCAAAAATGATAGGTGCATTTAATTAATTTCAGACAATATAGACTCAGTGGCAAAGAAACATTATAAACCATTTCTATTATGTTTAAAAAGAGGATTATTGCCGGGCATGGTGGTACATGCCGGTAGTCCCAGCACTTGGGAGGCAGAGGCAGGGGGATCTCTATGAGTTCAAGGCCAGCCTGGTCTACAAAGAAAGTTCCAAAATAGCTGGGACTTCAGGGAGACCCTGTCTCAAAAAAGACCAAAAAAAAAAGAGCATTATTAACATAATGACAAAAAGTCCAGTTTTGGCAGGAAGGAGTGATAATTCTAAACTTAAATATACCTAAAAAACAGTTTCAAAAGATAAAAAAGCTAATGCTACAGGAACAGACTACTAATCCCACTGTCATAAACTTTAAAAGTCTCTTTCAGTCATCAAGCAAAAAAAAACAGATTGAAGTATTCAAAAGTCTGCAATTTAAATATACAAGTAAAAAACTTGGGTTAACATACTGAACATTACATTCTCCTTTAAATGACATTTATAAAGAAAGTCAGATAGCAGAAGAGAAGTTATAACACAGAATATGTTCTGACAGCACCGTAATTCTGTAGTTGTAAAGTGGTTAAGAAGATAACCAAAATGTACCCATAAGAAAGAAAAAAATGTTTTCATCTTGTTTGAGACAGGATCTCCCTGTAGTCCCAGCAGGCCTGGAACTCATTATGTAGGCCAGGCTGAACTTGAACTCACAGAGTTCCCCTACCTCTGCCTCCAGAGTGCTGGGACTAAAGGCATGCACCACCACGCCCAGCACTAGAAAGAAAGTTTTTAACAGATGATAATGGAACAACTAGGCAGCCATAATAAAAGCAAAAACAGCTCTCAGTCGTACTTCAGAGATAGAAATGTACTCCTGGATGGATTATAGACCCAAGCATTAGAACCTGGAGGTACAGTCTTCCTGGAGAAGAACATAGAGGAGTATCTGGACAGGGCAGCAGTTCTTTGACAAGACACAGAAAACTCTGTCAACTGAAGTCCACATAGAAACGAGAGGCAAGCCAAGCATTCCTCAGTGCATGTACCTAACCAAAGACTTGTATCCAAAATATGTAATAATCTACAAATAAACAATAAAGAGATGAGTAATCTAAGTTTTTAAAATACATAAAAGACTTGAACAGTTGTTTTACAAAACGAAATACATGAATTACCAGTAAGCTCATAAAAAGTTACTTAACATTAGACATCACAGAATTCCAAAATCCTAACAAATAAAGGGGTTTGAAAGAATTTGGGTCTATTCC